TTCAGTGCAATGAGGAAACAAAAGGTCAGTATATTCCTCCTGGACTATCTTGTGAGAAATGAGGATATGAAGGTAGCAGAGTTCTATTTAAAACGAGCTGCAGTTATTTGAGCATAATCTCGTTGCAGAATGTGGTAGATTTTAGGCACGCTGTCTAGAAGAAAATTCCAGGACTGTCTTTTCTGCTGGGAATGTTTAAGTTCTGGTAAAGGCCAGGTGCACTGGCTCGTGCCTGTAATCCCAGCATTTCAGGAGGCTGAGATGGGAGGATTGCTTGAGCCCAGGAGTTTGAGACCAGCCTGGGCAACATAGTAAGACCCTATCTCTGCAAGAAAATTTAAAAATTAGCTGGGTGTGATGGTGCATGCCTTTAGTCCCAACTACCAGGGAGGCCAAGGGAGGAGGATCACTTAAGCCCAGGAAGTCGAGGCTGCAGAGAGGCACGATCATGCCACTGCACTCCAGCCTGGGCAACAGAGCGAGACCCTGTCTCGAAAGAGAAAAAAGAAAAGAACAAAACAAAATTTCTAGTTAAGACTGCCATAATTCTGACCCCTGTTGAGAAAATGAAATTAGACTCCATATAAATACGTTTGGCCTAATGGTGCTCAAAACCTCCCGGAGCAAAGCCCGAGTGAGCATACATTGCAATGTGACATTAGGTACCGGGGGAAGTTTGATCATGGGGATTGTAAAGTACCAGAAGCTTCTAATGGAGGGATGATTTAGGTTTCTGCTCCAGAAGCTCTTTATGAAGTAGGTAAACACCCTTAACCCAAGACCAGTTCAGATTACGCCTGCCCCAGGACCTTCTTATCAAGTCAGCTGTGATTTCGGGAGCCTTAGGGAATTTATGACATGAGAGACATCTGCCAGGGTTCTAAACCTTGTTGCTGCTGATGCTTTGGGCTGGATCTTTATTTGCTGTTGTGGGGGGTTGGGGCCTGTCCTGTGCATCATAGGAGGTTGAGCCGCATCCTGGGCCTCTGCTTAGCAGATGCCAGTAGCACCGCCCACCCCACCCCACCTCTGTTGAGACAACCGAAAATTTCCGGACATTGCCAGATGTCTCCTGGGGATGGGGGGAGGGTGGCAAAATCTCCCTCTAGCGAGAACCCCTGTTCTAGGGTGACCAGCCATCTCAGTTTGCCTGGAACTGAGGGATTTTCTGGTAGATGAGACTTTCAGTGTTAAAACCAGGGAAGTCTCAGGCAAACCAGATGAGTTGTCCATTTGGCTGTGTCATTGATAGTTTCTATTTCATACCAACGTTTAAAAGTTAAGAATCCAGGCTGGCGTGGTAGCTCACGCCTGTAATCCCAGCACTTTGGGAGGCCAAGGTGGGTGGATCACTTGAGGTCAGAAGTTTGAGACCAGCCTGGCCAACATGGTGAAACTTCGTCTCTACTAAAAATACAAAAATAAGCCTGGCGTGGTGGCACACACCTGTAATCCCAGCTATATGGTAGGCTGAGGCGGGAGAATCGCTTGGACCTGGGAACTGGAGGTTGCAGTGAGCCAAGATTATGCCACTGCCCTCCAGCCTAGGTGACAGAGCAAGCCTCTGTCTCAAATAAATAAATAAAGTAAGTAAGTAAGAAACCAAAGCTTTTGAAAAGTCTGTCTTTGGGAGGTGCTGACAAAGCATCTGGGGGAATACGACACTGGTTGTGGTATCATTTTGCCCCTCTTTTTCCTCAATGTCTCTAAAGCCTGAGCCCTGGTGAGATGGGCCACTGGAGGTTTGACCCTAGCCCATAGACCAAGGAGACTTGATTCAAACTTGCTCCCTTTCTAACAGAGAGGCTCTTGTTTGACACTTGAGAGTGAGCTTGACTGACAGACTTTTTCTTGGAATTGTAGGCTGTGTGACAGTATACATCATGAAAGTGACAGTAACAGTGGGGACTAATTTAATTCCATTTTCCTTTACAGGCCCTGATAAATCATTGCTGCAGGGAAAAATAAATTTTGCTTTCAGACAAATGATTCGAATAATGATGTGCTCCGAGGAAATTGGGGGCTGAGAGAAGATCTGTTAGTGGGCTTAAAAATATTTAAATAGCGCATCATGGAAGTTGTTGCAAATGCCTCTCGTACCTGGCCTGGAAAATACCAGAAGGAACCTCCTTTCTAGACTAATTAGAAGAGTCCAGGCCGTGCGCTGTGGCTCATGCTGGTAATCCCAGCACTTAAGGAGGCTGAGGCGGGCAGATCACCTGAGGTCAGGAGTTCAAGACCAGCCTGGTCAACATGGTGAAACCCTGTCTCTATTAAAAATACAAAAATTAGCTGAGTGTGGTGGTGCATGCCTGTAATCCCAGCTACTCGGGAGGCTGAGGCAGGAGAATAGCTTCAACCCAGGAGACAGAGGTTGCGGTGAGCCAAGATTGCGTCACTGCACTCCAGCCTGGGGGACAGAGCAAGACATCTCCCAAAAAAGGAAGAAGAGTTCCATAAAATATCAACCATCTTGACTAAATGATCGTGGTTTTTTAGGTCATCTCAATGGAAAAGATCATTGATTATCATGCTGCATATCCTATATAAGTTGGTGACTGAAACACCTAAAATAGATTCTAGAATCTGGGGTCCTGAGGGACCATTTACAAATAGGAAAAGTCTCGACGTGGATGGAAAATTGCCAATAATTTTCACCTCTCTTCTAGAAAATGATTGTGGCTTAGGAGTCTGGTTCTGCTAGGAGGCTTTTAAAATGCTATAGGGAATGAATTATGGGGTGAGGAGGTACTTGGGCCCCAGAGTACTACTATGCAGGAGGATTGGAGTGAATTTGAGGAGGGGTGTAGTGTAGATGGAACCCCTGCCCGCAAGAGGGGTGGAGAATGGGCTTTAGTACTGTAGGGAGACATATGCGTTTTGTCTAAGCTAAATAATGCCTGGCTTACTTGAGGGAGATTCTCCATCCCTGTGTCAGTCCATTAAAAGCACAAGAAAATCACCCGTCTGCAACTGGAATCCACATCTTCCCACACTACCATTGGCATATTGCGCTAGGGTATGGGGGCAAACAGGAAGGAACCAGAGGAAGTTTTGCTCATGACCATTTCCTGCAAGCGAGCCAGTGCAATTTTCCCACTGTCGGCGTCACCTGAGTTGCACTCCAACTTTGGTGATGGATGGAATACATCATCAGCGAAAGCTATAAAAACCCCATCCTTTTGAGCAGTGTGAACGTAAGGGAAATGAGCAGTTACTGCAGAGAGGATTTTATAGGAGTGAAAAATTCTGCATCAGAGCAGCAAGGATTGTTATATGAATGATCAAACTGCTTCCGCTGACTCCTCACAGCCCACCTAAGAGCAGGGGCCTTCGTCTGACACTCACTCAGCTTCCGGGGAGCTTTGCTTTCCCATTTGTTTTAACCCTGAGTAACAGCCGGGAGCTATGAGTTAGGTCCGGCCAGCCACTGAGAATCCATCTTTGTCTTTTCAAAAGCCAGGCCTGGTTACTGTCAGAAATAAGAGAAACAACTGGAAAAGACAGGCAAGGTACGCAGTATTTTACAGGCTCTGATTGTCATTTAGATTTCACATCCAAGAGGGGTTTGAAACTTGGGATTCTATTAGCTCCACGTGCCTTCCAGCCTCCTGGTTCTATCATCTTGGAATTCAGAACCGCTTCTTGATGTTTCTTATGGCCAACATGTAGCCCCAAGAAGCTGAAAGTCTACGGAGTCTCCCTGGATCTGATCGACTGCTAGACATGAGCGGCCCAGACGCTTAGCTATAGGCCCCAGAGTAGGAAAGAAGCAAATGGTAACCTCTGGAAGGACAGAAACCCTTGATTATTGGGCTAGGATAAAAATGAAATCATGCAGATATGTCTTAAGGAATAGAAATAGTATATATTTCAATATAATATTTAAGGAATTAGCTGGGGCTGCACTGTTCTCTAAGGTTTGCCTCTGAAGAAAAACAAAACTTCATTGGTTTTTGGTTTGCAAAAGACCGTGGGACCTGTGCCTTTTGAGAATTTGTTTTCTGCAAATGACTGCTCCAGAGGAATGGCTGTGTCATTTTATTGGCTTTGTAATAACTTTCCGAAACAAATTGCCGCAAACTAGGTGGATTAAAACAACACAAATTTATCCGCTAGCAGTTCTGGGGGCCGGAAACCCGCAATCAAGGTGTCGGCAGTGGTGTTTCTTTCTGGGGAAACTGAGAGAGAATCTGTCCCGTGCCTCTGTCCCAGCTTCTTGGGTTCTTTGACTTGCAGCAACCCCACTTCCATGTCTGCCTCTGTCCTCGTGTGGCTGTCCCCTCGGTGTGTCTCTGAGTCTCAAATCTCTTTCTCCTTTCTCTTATAAGGATACCAGTCATTGGAGTTAGGGCTTACCCTAAATCCAGGATGATTTCATCTTGTGATCTTTAACTTAATTACATCTGCAAAGAGCCTTTTTTCAAATCAGGTCATATTCACAGTTACTGGAGGTGAAGATGTGGATGTATCTTTTGGGGCAGACACAATTCAACCCACTACAACCAGATTTTGTTCCTCTTCCTATCTCCAAGTTGCTGCTCTCTGTTGCTTTTGTCCATTTTCAAAAGGTCACTTGTATGGGTTGCTTAGGCTGACGTCTATCTCTAAGATTAGCTTCCTCTCCCTGCCAGTGTTTGGGCGTAAACATTCCAGGATACCACTCCTAGGAGACAAAGGTCAGGCTGGCCAACCCTCCAGACATGGAACCCTTCAGGCCCTGAATTCTCATGTCTTTGCAAATCCGAAGGGGACAGGCTGACAGTCTGATGGAGTCCCCCCGCCAGGCCTTCTGTCTTTACACATTTTGAGAGCACTTGAATATGCACGGGAAGCAATTAACTATGACAGACACCAAAGAGTTGGGGAAAGGGCAGCTGTGGAGAAAAGAGATGCCCCAGCATCCCCCTGATTTCTCTAACATTTTATCCAGAAAAATGTGATAGTGTGGTGAGACTCTGAACAGACTCTAATTGTCCTTTTTCTTTCTTTCCTCTTAGCAAACTGCCTAGTTGGGCTAGAGCTGTTGTCCCCAAAATATTTTATGTGACAGAGAAGGCTTGGAACTATTATCCCTACACAATTACAGGTAAGTCCTTAGTACAACTGTATGCCACATGTAGTGAATGCAAGGACACAGCGTCGTTGAATTTCACTGATTTACAGTTGATGATCCAAGCAGGGCCTTGTGGGAGCCCCGTAGTATCCCTCTCCTTTTTTGGTTTCTTACTTGCAGGTCATCAGCACTTCTAACACACAGAGATGGCAGGTGTCAGGGGGGCTAAGCTAAGCCCATTCCATCTTCCTTCTTAGAGTTACAATGAATAGCTTATGGAGGGCCAGGAGCAGTGGCTGACTCCTGTAATCCCAGCACTTTGGGAGGCCGAGGCCAGTGGATTACTTCAGGTCAGGAGTTCGAGACCAGCCTGGCCAAGATAGTGAAACCCCATCTCTACTAAAAATATAAAACCAGGAGGCGGAGGTTGCAGTGAGCCAAGATTGTGCCACTGCACGCCAGCCTGGGTGACACAGCGAGACTCCAACTCAAACAAAAAAAAAAACTTATGGAGAAGGAAGGTGAAGATCTTTATAGAGACGTTTCCAGAGGTTTTATGATTCTTATTTCCCTGTTTCCTCAATAATTCCCAAGTACTTTAGAGGTATGATTTGTCTATAAACAAGTTGCTTATTTTAACTTGTTTGTTTTTACTACTCCAAATTTTGACTATAATTTGTATAAAAGATTCTCTCTCTGCCTCCAGATGACTTCCTTTGCTATTAGATAATATGAAAATCTTAAGGTCGATTTGCCTCTCACTTGCAATGCAATGATAATAAACTGTTTGTACTGAATACTGTCCTAGAAACTGTGGCCAAAAAAGCTCAGAAGATTTGGTTTCTGCCCTCAAACACACTAACATTTGAAATCCCACCTCAACATCATCGTAACAAGCTCTTCTTATTGGTTACAAAAGCTGCTTTTCCACTTGAAAGATTTCCTTTATGGTTAATGAAATGCTCTACTGGAATTATTAGTCTTTCGTTTGCTTTTATAATGCCAACTCTTTGGTTTTTAATTAGCCACAAACCTATAGGGTAATTGAATCTTGTCTGACTGTTCTTATCTGCCCAGCCACAGAAGTATCATGAAAGAATTTCAGTGCAAACATGGAGACATTCAGTATTTATGGAAGTTTCATTAGTATATTTTTCGTAATTATAGTTCATCAGTATTTGTTAGTTCTGTGGTTTTATACTGCATATAAGCATGGTCTAAATCATCTTTTGTCTCTTTTCTTTCCCCTCTTCTTCAAATGAACCTGTGGAAACAGAATACACAGTAAGTTTCATTTAATTATTTTTAAATACTCTGTCTATGACCAGTGGAGTAATTGGAATGTCTCTTGTATTATTTGTCTTATCAATGTAATAATTTTTAGAAAGGAATAATTCAGTCAGAAATATTTAAATGTGGCTATTACATCGTTATATATAATGCAATAATTTGAATGTTCTCATTTGTTCAAGAATGTGAATCCTAATTTAAAGTGCCTTGATAGTCGCTTTACATAATCAGCCTTTGCTTGTAATTTTTAAATAGCTTGACTGCTTTGTTGGTGATAGTTCACTATAATAGAAGAACAGTTTCTAGCAACGTGATATTAAAGAGATGATGGTAGTTATCGATGGAAGGTGGAGCTTTTACTCATGGACTGTGTCCTGATTCCTTGTTGGAGAAGCTTGAAAGGGAAGAGGCCAATGTGCGAACTATTTTGCACAACAGAGATTTGGGTTGGCCAGGCGCTGTGGCTTGTTAAAATTTCTTTTTTTCCTTATAGCCTCTAGTGTTACTACTTAGACTGAAAGAAAAAAAGACAGAACCGGTAATATCATTGTGTTGTGGTGTTTTCATTTAGATCATTTTCCCGAGCAACTAACAGGTCAGTCTATCACAACAAGAAAGTAGTTTATGATTTTTTTTTTTTTTTTTTTGAGATGGAGTCTCACTCCATCGCCCAGGCTGGAGGGCAATGCATGATCTTGGCTCCACAGAAACTGCCGCCTCCCTGGTTCAAGCGATTCTCCTGCCTCAGCCTCCCAAGTAGCTGGGATTATAGGTGTGTACCACCATACCCGGCTGATTTTTTTTTATTTTTTGGTAGAGATGGGGTTTCACCATGTTGGCCAGGCTAGTCTCAAACTCCTGACGTTAGGTGATCCGCCTACCTTGGCTTCCCAAAGTGTTGGGATTACAGGCGTGAGCCACCGCACCTGGCCAATAGTTATGATTTTCTGAGCTGTGTTAAGAGTTGAGTTTTTGGTTTCAATCCAGATTGCCAAAGGATAGAGAGGTGGTGAAAGAAATGGAAGAAAATGATTTGTCATGCCCTGGGCAGGAGCATAGTACCCGACACATCGTAGGTGCTCAATGAATAGTTACTGAATGACAGAATGGACACGTGAATTCTAGATGGATAAATGGTCCCAGCACAGGCTTTGGCATCAGAGAGGCTTGGCTGTCCTCCGGTTTTGCCACTCACTGGCCAGAATTCCTAAGCAAGTGGCTCCCAACTGCCAATTATTGAATTCACACTGGTCCTTGACTATGTTCTCACCAATCCTCTGCAGAATGAAGAAAAAACAGGAATAGTATTCAGAGATTTTTATAACATTGAATTTATTTCATCCAAAGTGCTGTTGGTAATTATATTCCATCATACGCGGATATTAAGATATCTTTTCTTTTTTGAAATAATAGGAATATATATAGTATTTCCCCCCACAATGTCCCTAACTTTGAAAAAAGAGGCAATTTTATGGCAAAATGCAAATGTAAAATTTTAGAAGCAGGGGAACCTTTGCTCTAGAGCAAGCATCTTAACTTTTCTGAACCTGTTTCCTCTTTTCTGAAATTAGAATAATCCCTCCTTCCTAGAGACATTAGCAGAAGGATTCAACGGTCTACCCTTGGATTGGAAAACATTTTCTTTAGAGGGTCATATTGTCAATGTTTTCTGTTTTGTGAGTTATATAGTCTCTGTCACTGCAAAAGCAGCCTTAGGCAGTACGTAAACAAATTAGCATGGTCATATTTACCTAGGTTGCAGGTCAAATTTGTCCCCGAGGCTACTTTGCCAACTCTAAATATAAAGCATAGAAAGCTGTTAGCACACTGCCTGTATACAGCAGGCAATTAAATGGTTCCCTACCACCAACACCACTCCCTAGTTCCACTGCTTCTAGCAACTGCATAATCATCAAGAGAGAGACTTTGGGCTGGGTGCAGTGGCTCACACCTGTAATCCTAGCACTTTAGGAGGCTGAGGCAGGTGGATCACTTGAAGTCAGGAGTTTCAGACCAGCCTGTCCAACATGGTGAAACCCTGTCTCTACTGAAAATACAAAGAAAAAAAAATGTAGTCAGATGTGGTGGCAGGCACCTGTAATCCCAGCTACTTGGGAGGCTGAGACGGGAGAATCATTTGAACCCAGGAGGCAGAGGTTGCAGTGGACTGAGATCACGCCACTGCACTCCAGCCTGGGCAACAGAGTGAGAGTCTGTCTCAAAAATAAAAAATTAAAAAATAAAGTCAACAGTCATTTATTAGGCATCAGGGAGGTACAAAACATCATGCTAGATGGCATAACTGAGAGATTATCTCTGCCATTTGGGGTCACAATCTGGTTGGAAATAGCTGGACATTCCAGTCAAAGCCTGGCAGTCATCAGCAAGTCCTGGACTTTTCTGGAGGCAAGAAGGGACTTAGCCAAGGAAACAAGTTGGCCTCAGACCTGTCCATTGGGCTGGATAAGCTCTGAACTGACCTGCCAGCAGAGATTCATACCAGAGGGCAGAATCAATGGCTCTGGGAATCCAACCAGATAAAGCAGTTGCAATGTGAAAGGAAGGGTGCTGGCCTCTGCATTGGGGCCTTGAGTTTCGGGAACAGTCCCCAATGTGGGAGACGGGAAGAGAAGTACACAGCACTCAGGCAGATTACTCAGTATCATGGTGCTAGAGAGATAAGGTTGCCAACTTTAGTAAGTGAAAATACAGGATGTCCAGGTAACTTTGAATTTTCAGATAAACGGTAAGTAATTTTTAGGATACGAATGTCCCAGATGTTATATGGGACATAATTATGCCAAAAGATTGTTGTCTCACATTTTATCTGGCAACCTTACGGGAGAGAGATGGTGGTGTGGAAGAACTGGTCTCAGAGACTCAAGTACAAAAATCGGTCATGAGAACAGGGCACACTAATGGGCCAAGGGAAGGGAGGGGGCCGGAAGTGCGTAACGTGGGAACCCATCCTGCAATTGACATGCCATAGGAGCTCTAAGGCCAGACCAGAGATTCAGCTGTCTGGTCTGAATCTCTGCTGGCAGCTCAACTCAGAGCTTGTTCAGCCCAATGGACAGGTCTGAGACCAACAAATCAAATCAAGTGCATTTGATTTGGAGTGGTCGGAGGAACCACTCCAAGAGCCTTCCTGCCTCAGTTAGGATTGGCTCAGGAGGTAGAATGGAACGAGCTAGGCAGAGTTGGGGAAAATTAAGTGGTAGCAGATGAATACATAACTGTCGGCATTTTAAGGAAGACCTGTGTTGCATGTAAGTGTTAGAGTTAAAGTGCCAACAGAGGATTGTAGGAAGGGGAGAGGGATTCTGCCAGGGAGAAATATGAGGAGGTTTCTCAGAGAAGGTCGCATTTGGGCTGGACCTGAAGGGACAGTACAACTCCCCCTGCAGAGGCCTGTTCTGTCTTAGCTCATGTTGCTCTAATGAAACACCACAGACTGGGGGGCTTAAGCAGCAGACATTTATTTCTCACAGTTGCAGAGGCTGAAAGTGCTGGCCGACTGGGTTCCTGGTGAGGGCTGTCTTCCTGGTAAGCACGTGGCCATCTTCTTGCTATGCCCTCACATGGCAGAGACAGAGCAAGTTCTCTGGTCTCTTCTTTGAAGGGCGCTAATCCCATCATGAGGAACCCACCCTCGTGACCTCATCCCTACCTGATTAGGTCCCAAAATCCCACCTCCAAACCCCATTGCATTGGGGATTACGAATTCAACATAGGAATTTGGGGGAGACACAGTTCGGCTCATAGCATGCTCCTTCCAGGCCCAGTGGGCAAGTGATGGAGGTGGATCCTGGCCACCTGGACATATGGAGGGCAGGTCGTGGTACTTTCAGTGTCAGGTCAAGGTCTAGATTTAATTCTCTGTGAGGAGGTCACATTGTTCCTGGCTAGTTCACTTTTATTTTCCATCCCAAATATAGGACAGCTTTTCTTTCCATCTCCCTGGTGACCAGGGGATCCGGATTTTTCTCTCTGACTCTAGTGCACTCCTCTGGGCCTGCAGTGTGCGGTTTGAAGCTGCCACCTCTTGACTCAGATTCAGCCGTGTTCTCACGCTCTCTGCCCACGACAGCCCTGGTGGCAGAACCCACCCTTGACTCTGACTGCAGAATCTGCACCCTGGATTTATGACAGATGCTTTCAATTGCCTGAGTCTTTTTTCCTGTTTTAGATGCTTTTGAATTGTGCTCTTTATCCCCTGATCCTTTAATCCTAAATACTTCTTCTTGCTGTCTTTCCCAAGCTCCATAGTTCCTGTTCTGTGCCCCAAAGCAAAACTTCCCCAAAGTCAGAGCCCCAGCTAGGATCACGGTGCCCTTCCCTTCCTCAGAGAGGCAGCCTCAAGGGCTCGAAAACCTCCAAACCAATGTCTTCTCAGAAGGCATTAGTCTAGAGCACGAGGATGTCTATACTAGGATCCCCTAGGTCTCATATCTGACTGTTTAGCCTGTTACTCAGACCTCATGCTGCCCTCATTCGTGACAAAGCCCGGGCAAGGAAACCTATTTAGAGTCATCTAGGGCTTCAGCACTATCACAATTATCAAGACATAAGAGCTTTTTCATCACTGTGAGTGACTGCATGTGTTTAGAATTATGTGGAAATGCCATTTGCCCAGGAAGTGGGAAAAACATCTTTAGCTTGCTTATGGGGAAAAAAAAAAAAGTCTTAATTATACAGTAAACAAAGAACAACGCAATGACAGTTTCACAGAGGACAGACCTTCAACCAGTTCTTCCAAACTGGTAGGTTCTTCAGAAGTTGGTAAAATCTGCAAAGAAAGATGCCTGAGGAGACTGGCTGCCTTCCAAAGGAGTTGATTTTGTTTTTCTAGAGCTAAAAAAAATAAAAATAAAAATAAAACACACACACACACAAAAAACCAAACAGTCTGCGCTTTTAGATGAGCATAAATCAGCAGTATCAATTCAGCTTTGGTACTAATGAAGAACAAAGGATTTTCTTCTTGTTCGCAG